AGGCAGCATTTTTGAGCTCAGGATGAAAAGGCAACAGTGGAAACAGCACTGGGTTGAGATTCAGACCTGAGCTCCAGCCCTAGTTGGGCAGATCACAGCACTTCATTGGGCCTCAGTGTTCCTGCCTAGAAAATGGGCCCAGAAACTCCTGCTTCTGTAACTGAGTTACAAGTGAAATGACAGCTACAGCCACTGACAGGTGTCTGTGCTGCTATAATTACACAGCTACAGCTGTGGTTCTGCTGTTCTCGGTGTAAGAGACAGCAAAGGAATCCTAATCAGCACGGCTCAAGTTGCTGTCTGTAGCCCGCCCCTGTATTCCCACACTGCTATAGCCCTCACTTCACTATCTGGTCCCCAACACTCAGTCAAACTCAGGCAGAAAGTCATGTGTGTGTCAGAGAGAGAACAAGGAGGGAGAAGACGACACAGAGACACCCCTCCAACGAAAGGGACCAGACCCGTCCCCCACATCCTACAACTTTGGAACCAAATTCACATCCTTCATCCAACACCAGGCGACTCTGATCATGCCATCTGATAACAACTACTGCTTACTGATCATTTTACTGTGTGCTGTATAGCACATTGAGCCTCCATGATATAACCAGGCAGGCGTAAGTATCCCCCCTTTCACAGGAAAACACAAGGAACAGAGAGGTTAGTGACCTGTCCCCGGTCACACGGACAACGAGTGGCAGTGTAGACTGAAACCCGGGCAGCTCAGCTCAAAAGCCGATGCCTTTCATCTGTCCCCTGCCCTCGGCCCTTCTTGGGCCACGGTGCCCTCATCTGTCAGCATATAAAGCTACAACAGCACATTGAGAACAACAGGCAGTAATGGAAGGAAGGAGGGAGACAGAAGAAAAGCCAGTGAATGGTGAGATCCAGACAGTGGGCAATGGACGTGCACTGCAAAACTCCCAACAGTCAGTGTGAACACCTCTGCAATACAATGGTGAGGAAAAGTGCCCTCAGCGGTCGGTTCTGACGTACAGGGCTGACTGATTAAACCAGACTTGCCACCATGCAAGCAACAATGGACAAGGACAGGGGTTTAAATGAGACAACTGGGGGAGGGGGATCCAAGGTACCCCATTTCTTCACAGTTCTCTTATTCACTGTTGGGAAATAAACAACTATGAACTCCAGCACAGGACAATCACTCCCTCAGATCACCTCATGTATAATGTCTCTGGGTGGTGCCAGATGTCCACAACACCTCCCCCTGTTGAACAAAAGCACCAGGCCTCCCTCTGCAAGCCACAGCCTCAAAGGAGACTTTATCCATGTTACTTTTTCTTTGTATCTTATTTTTTCCATTGCATTCTCTTTTTAAAACAAATTTTTACTTATTTTCAAAAATTTATTTGAGGGGGCTGGCGCTGTGGCAAAGCAGGTTAAAGCCTTGGCCTGAAGAGCGCCCGCATCCCATATGGGCATTTGTTCTAGTCCCGGCTGCTCCTCTTCCAATCCAGCTCTCTGCTATAGGCTGGGAAAGCAGCAGAAGATGGCCCAAGTCCTTGGGCCCCTACACCCGTGTGGGAGACCTGGAAGAAGCTCCTGGCTCCTGACTTAGGATTGGCACAGCTGCAGCCGCTGCGGCCATCTGAGGAGTGAACCAGCGGATGTAAGACCTCTCTCTCTCTGTCTCTACCTCTCTCTCTAACTCTGACTTCCAAATAAATACAATAAATCTTTAAAAAAATTTGAAAGGCAGAGATAGATTTTCCATTCACAGGTTCATTTGCCCAAATGCCTGCAAACAGCCAGGGCTGGGTCAGGGTGAAACCAAGAACCCAGAATTCAATCCAGGTCTCCCATGTTGGTGGCAGAGACCCAAGTACTTGAGCCATCACTGCTGCCTCCCAGGAAGCCAGGACTTGAACCCAGGCAGTAAGACACGGGAGGCAGGTGCCAAGTAGTGTCATAACCACCGTACCAAATACCCACCCCTCAATCACCTTCTAGTTACGGCAAATTATGACATAATAAAGTTTCCTCCGTTGTTGTGTTTTTTTTTTTTTTTTCCAAAGATTGATTTAGAGAAAGGCAAGCACAGCACAAGGCATGCAACAGAAATGAGGATGGTGACGGCCACAAGGCCAATGGCTGAGAAAAGCCAACTGCTCCAACTCCACCATTTCCCACAGGAGCAGCCGCGGCTGGCCGGAAGTCCTGCAGCAGGTTCCGGGAATCAGCTCTGGATTCCCGTCTCTCACTGCACCGAGTCCTGCCCCGTGTCAGGGCTGCTGCTATTTATTTTGGCTTCTGCCTCTGATCCTCACCCTGCAGCAAGGTGTGGGGGAGGACAGAGCAGCGGAAGGAGGAAGGAACTGCCTCCCCACCCTCTCATCCCGTCCACCCGAGCACCCCTGCGCACACGTCTCACTCCAGCAGCAGCCCCTCCAACCACTTGAGGCTCAAAGGAAGCAGGGACGGCCGGCGCCGCGGCTCACTAGGCTAATCCTCCGCCTAGCGGCGCCGGCACACCGGGTTCTAGTCCCGGTCGGGGCGCCGGATTCTGTCCCGGTTGCCCCTCTTCCAGGCCAGCCCTCTGCTGTGGCCAGGGAGTGCAGTGGAGGATGGCCCAGGTGCTTGGGCCCTGCACCCCATGGGAGACCAGGATAAGCACCTGGCTCCTGGCTCCTGCCATCGGATCAGCGCGGTGCGCCGGCCGCAGCGCGCCGGCCGCGGCGGCCATTGGAGGGTGAACCAACGGCAAAGGAAGACCTTTCTCTCTGTCTCTCTCTCTCACTGTCCACTCTGCCTGTCCAAATGAAGACAGTAAATCTACAATAAGGAAGCAGGGACCCCCAGCCCTGTGGCAGCCACTCGTGCCCCTCAACTGGATGCATCTCAAACCTCCCTGCCCAGACCTGTTCCAGCCCACCGCAGGGATTTCACTCCCCCCGGCTTCCATCTGTTTCACGCAGGAAAGCGGAAGCAAGCTTTGTTCTGATTGATGTCCAAGAGGATGTGGTTCCTGCATGGGAGATTCATCCCACTCAGCCTGGCCTTCGGCGACGTAACATCACAGCAGCAACAGTCTGACAGAGTCTGACAGTCAGAACCCTCAACCACAGCCCTAGGCTGCAGCATCACACGGGAGGTAATGCGAGGACCAAACCCAGCAACGTGCCTGGCACACAGCAGTCAAGATCCGGTAGCTTTACCATTTTCTTGGATATTTTACTCCCTTACTTTCACGTTGTTTGGTGAAAGGAACCAACCTTTCATTGTTTATCGGACAGGGTGCAGATCAAGGTACTGGCACAACTCCAGGGGGCACCATATGTAGACTAAAAGATGAAAGAGTTGCCCCTGAGGCTGGCTGTACAGTGCCCAGCCTGCACAACCAGACCATAATTCACTGTGAATTCCTGAAACAGGAGTCAGGAAACCTGATTTCCTAACACTGACTCCTCCGCCAGCCTGCTGAGAGGCCTTGGGCAAGTCTCCGTGCCTGTCTCCCCCTCTACAAGACTGACCCACGTCTGCATTCCTTCCGGCTACAAAACCTTGACTTTCTATGGAAGCAGTTTTCAATTTTTCAAAGGTCGGCATAGGAAAGATTAAGCGAGCTCATCCACCCGGCTTCAGAGAGAGGAGCCTGCGTGCTGGGGGAGGGATTGTAGGAGGGCAGCTCTGGCCTCAGTCAGAAAGACATCAGCAGATGAGGCAGCTCTGGGAGGTGGTGAGCTCCCTGTGACTTGAGGAATTCAAGTATAGACTGGGTAGCCACCTGCTGGAGGGGTGAGGTTCAAGGCCTCCTTCAGCATGGAGACTTGATGGCTTCCCAGAGTGGCTTTGTTTTCATTAGTGCTAAAGCAGCAGCCAGCCAGGGCTGGGTCTCGTCTGCTGATACCTAGTAATACAATGGACCTGGTGGTTCTGCCACCACCAGCTCACCGCCCACACAAGCCCCCGTTCTCTAAATTGAACTCCAGCCCTCAGGCAGGGCCCATGTTCACCCTCGCTCTGGCAAATACATCTTTGCATCCTAGAAAGAACCAAGAAATAGCCCTGCCCCAGCCTGAGGTACGGAGGCGGAGGAGCCAGGCTGGGGAGCTGGGGGAAACACTCCAGAGTCACCCTTATCTCATCCCGACCGGTGTCCCTTAGGAATTCTGAGCTGTGACAGCTGGGCAGGACTGCTCTGGATTCCTGCATGTGCGGGGAAAGAATCAGAGGATTTCTTTTAAAATCATCGCCATTTTGGCTTTTCATTAATTCAGTTCAAGTGCTCCACAGAATGCAAATGGATAAGGCTGCATTTCATCGCCTTTAAGTTGCACGCACAGTGCACAAGGAAGTGGGAGGTGTGGCAATTACTCTCTCAGGAGGATCAATAAGGGGCACTCAGTCTCGGGAAGAAGGGTCAGAAAGTCCCCACTGTGATGCAATGACTTTAGTGTTGGCATGCCCACTTCCAAAGTCAATCAGTTAAAAAAAAACAACCTTAGTTTGAATGCTGTATCTTAAAGACTTCCATTCAGAAATTTAGCTCAGGGCAAGACTACCTCTTTAAACAATTTAAATAAATTGTCTTTGCTACTTTCCTGTGGGATACAGAGTATATTTACACAATAAAAAGGTATCAATCTCAATTTAGGGTATTTTCCTGATGGTGAAAGAGGTTTAGTTTGGAAAGACGCCAGAACCATCTTTCCTGGTGACTCTCCCAGAGGGGAGTAGCAAGCCCAGGAGAATGGAGAAATAGCTCCTCAATAATGTAGACCATAACAGCGCTCCCACCTGCACTGGATTTAGCTTTTTATGTGATTTCTTCACCCAAAGAAACCTACTCTGCTTTCCCCACACACTCTGCCCAGAGATGTAGTAACTGCAGCGCAGAGGGGTGAAACTGCTCACCCCAAGTCACCCAGGTGGAAAGAAACAGGCCAAACAGCAGGTCTGCTTGTCACCCCCCACCTAAGCCACCCTCGGAGCAATCATCGGTTACACTGCCTGAATGAGAAAGCAAGAACTTGCCGTACCTCTCGGCTTCCTGCTCGGCGCTCGGCTGCTTGCTCTCGAAGGCGTTGAAGCTGCTCATGTCCACGTAGCCATCGTTCTCGTTGGCCGTGGACAGGGCTCTGCTCTGATCCTCAAACAGCTTGGTGTACGTGCCAGCCCTCGCAGGCCGTCGGGGCGGGATCTGGATGTTCTCGTAGTCTGAGTTCATGGCTGGAATGTTCTCGTAGTCGGAAGTATCAGCGTTGGGGAATGAAATGGACCGGGGCTTGGTCAGCGGCAGGGGCAGAAAGGGTGGCCGAGAGCGGTCTTCGAAGGACTCCACTCTGGACACCGTCCTGCTGAAGGGCACGCCCTTCCTCTTGCCATCTCGACAGAAGATGAGGGAGGAGGGCGAGTCCGAGGCCCGGAGCTTCCCCGTGCGAGTCTTGAGCTGAGGGGAGCTACTGAGGCTTCTCGGGTTGAGTTCCAGAATCCTGGCGGGCCCGTGGTAGCTGGATTCCGAGGAGGACCTGGAGGAGGACACGTTCACATCCACATGCACTTTGTTCTCTGTCTTCTTTTTAAATGTCAGCGCCAGGAACCGCTTAAAGGACGACTTCTTCTTCTTGGTGTGCTTGTCCGGCGAGTCGCTCTCGATCAGCAGCGAAGGGGAGCTCTTGGTGATGGGCTTCTTGGTGATGCAGGCCAGGTCGAAGGGGGGCGGGATGTCTACCACGGACGACGGCGTGGAGGTGCCGCTGGATGGAAAGTGGTTTCTCTGTGAGAAGCTCCCAGAGGAGCCGATGACACAGGGCAGGGAAAGGTTGTCGTCTTTCCTGTTTATCCGGTGGTCGTCTAAGCCCTCCGGCTCCCGGTACACGGAGATGGGAATCTCTCGGCCTTCCACAGAGAACGAGCGAGGATACAGAGTGAAAGCCCGGGGTTTTGCTGGCAGGGCCCTGTTCGCCTCTCCAGCCTTCCCCTCTGATGACAACACCATCTTGCCTGCCTGCTCCGGGGAACCGGCAGTGCCAGAGGCTAGTGAGCCAGCTTCTGGTCCGGTCTCTTCCGGGACAGTTTCCGGGACAGAGCCAGCCACCTTCCCGGAGTGGGGCCGGGCCCTGGTGACGAGGTTTTTCCTGTCCGTGGGGACTAGGCCACCCTCAGCATCAGCGTTCACTTCTTCTCTCAAGCCACAGTCACTCAGAGTGTCCAGATCAGCTGAAGTCTCGGCCTGCCCTCCCTCGGCAGGGTCAGCCTGGCCCGTCAAGCTGACTCCCATCACATAGGGGTTGGTGAGCGCATCGTCCGTGGCACCCTCCTCTGCCTCCTCCTCCGGCATGACCACCACTTCTGGGACAGAGGACCCCCCCTCCCCAGCTGCACCCTGCAGGGGGTTACTCTGGTCACACACAGTTCCAGCCACAGGGCCCTCCTCTGCACATGCGCCTGACCTTGCCTCCTGCTCCGATTCTAAGCCTTCTGCTGACTCAGAAAGAGGAGAACAGCTTTCGCTACAGAAAGAGGTGCTCTCGGTCTGGAAGAACTTGTAGGGGCTTCCTGTGAGTGAGGTAACGGCGTCATCAACACAGTCGCTCTCAAAAGGAATGATGTGGCAGCTCTCCTCGGGGGCCTCATCCTGCGCGGGGTCCTCTCCTTCCCGAGGGTCTTCTGCCTCTGCAGGGGCTGCCGCCATTTCTTCCTGCTCCGTTTTCTCATCCTGGCCCACGGGGTCCTCAGCGGCGGGGACGCCATCACACTCCTCCTCAGGGATTTCAGGGTTCTCTGCGGCCATCTCTGCCTCCTGGACACCTGTGGCCAACTCATCCTCAGGGGGTCCTTCACTGGCATCTTCAGCACCCTGATCAGTGTCCTCGCCTGGCCCCCCTGGTTCTGCACCGGCACAGCCTACCCCCTCCTCCTCTGCCAGCTCCCCAGGGGTCTCGGGGGGCCTGGGCTCCTCGTCAGGGGCTGCTGGATCCTCTGAACCAAGCTGAGTCAGGATGACATCACTCCCAACGGCCTCTTGTGCAGCCAAAGGCCCGCTGTCCTCCCTGTGGTACACGCTGTGCTCTTTTACCAGCTTCTCTTCCTCACTTGTGGACTCCTGCTCCCTGGCACCCGGGTCACTGTCACTGTCCCCGTTTTCAGGGGTGCAGTCTGCGCCCTCCTCATCCTCCTCGCCCGGTGCTCCACCAGCTGGGGCTGCAGGAGGTGCCAAGTCCTTGCCAGCTGCTGTCCTCTCCCTGCCACTCTCCTCGACCCCCTCCTCTCCTACCTCTTCGCTGGTGGCATCTTGGGGCCCCGTGACCGTATTCTCTCCACAGGGCCCATCCTTGGGTTCATCCTCTTTCCGTGGGGCCCTGGGGGCCATGATATAATCCTCATCCGTCTCTGACTCGGAGCACTCCAGGTTGGGCCGGTGCCCTTCATAAAGCCCCTTGTCTACACAGAGCAGCCTCCCGTTGCTGCATTTGTTGAAACTGTTGTTCACGGACACGCTGGCTCTCCACTCACTGGGGACAGCCAGCCTGGGCTTGGGGGCAATGGGGGGCTTTGGTCCCCTGGACATGAAGTTTGGACTGTGGAGACTTTCGGGCCTGGGTGAGGAAGGGAATTTGGGTGTGGTCACTGGCGTGAGTACACCGCTGGTCTTTGGCTTGGGAGCAACTGGAGGTTTTGGAGAATCTAAGTGATAAGAAAAGGAGAAAAAGTACAATTAACTTGATTTCCACTCAAGAGTCTCCTAGTTATCAGTGCAAGGGAGCACTAACGATGGTTCCCCCAACCTAGGTGAACCTGCCATGCACCATGCCCTGTCTCAGGCTTATCTGGATCCCACCTCTAAAATTCCCTCATTTGCGACTTACAACTCACTCCATAAACAAAATGAACAGAACTGGTTTCCACACGGTGTCCAGCAGATGAAAATCAGCAAAATGAAAACCTGTTCCCTCCAAACTGTATTCACATCATTGCATTCATTCATCCAACAGCTATTTCTTTTGTTTTTTTCAAAGATTTGCTTATTTTTATTTGAAAGGCCAGTTACAGAGAAAGGGGGAAAGACAGAGAGAGAGGAGTATCTTCCATTTGCTGGTTCACCCCAAATAGCCCTAACAGCTAGAGTTGGACCAGGCCAAAGGCAAGGGCCTGGAACTGGGTCTCGCACATGGGTGGCAGGGACCCAATGACTTGAGTCGCCTCCACTGCTTTCCCAGGCGCATTAGCAGGGAGCTAGATCAGAAGTGGAGCAGCTGGGACTCAAACCGGTGCTGATATGGGATGCCTAACCTGCTGCACCACAACAGTGGCCCCTAGCAGCTATTTCTTAAACACTTTCTACGTGCCAAGTAGCCAGGAGCAAATTCTGAACATGACAGTCACCAGCCCATCTGTCCTCAGGGAACACACATCCATTCTACAGCAAACACGTCAGATGCCTTCTCCCTACACACAAGGCACTGCTGATGGCGGATTTTTCCACAGTGTAGAACAGAAGAACACCTAGGCTTAGCGCTCGCGTGGAGTCAGAACAACTGGAGGACAGGCCAGCCCTTGGGGTGTTATGATGGGACAGCCATCGTCTCTTTGCCTCAGGAGTGACACACCAAAGGTTCCTAATGGTGAACAACAACTCTGCTCAGTGTCACATCTGAAATCAGCATGCTTCAAGATGGCACCCAGCCAGTCCTGCACCCCGGTCTCCTGGCACAGAACTGTATGGCTACTTGCCAGTGTGGGCATCTGCCCATGGTCTCTTCCTCTGCGGAGGTTGAGGATGACAGAGTGGCAGAATAAAAGATGTACTGCAGACAACACGTTAAGGAAGCAGGAGTATGGCTTGCCGTGGCCAGGGAAGATCCCTTGGAAGTGAAACTTGGGCTAACTTTTGCAGGACAGAAGAATCTAAACAAGGGAAAGAGTCAAAGGAATGGCTGAAAACTTCCACGTTTCTCCTGGCTCGAGGCAATCCATGCCTTTCCCTGGTCTCTCTGCCTCCTGTCTGCTTCCCAGGCACAGGGAGCTTTTCAGGAGTGCACACAAACCTGCTTCCAAAGTGCTGCCTGGATCCCCACTGCCCACACATCAGGAGACCTGTGCTCCCCACCAGCCAAGTCTCATCTCCTAGTTCCACCCCCACCAAGGCCTGGATATGACATAAAGCAGCCTCAGAATGCCAGCCTGGCTCATGACAGAGGGAAGGGGGAGCAGAGCACCTGGAGGTTTCTTTCAGCAAGCTCTCCTCTTCCCTATGCACCCCTCCCCATTGACGTCCTTGCAGCCTCTCATGCCAGCCATCGGCAGGCCAGGGCTGCCCCCACAGGGCTACTGCAGGGGCACATACATGGTCACACACGTGACTTTTACTTTCCTCAGAGGGCAACACATTAAAAAGTAAAAAAGTGGGGGCCAATGCATCAGGTTAATCTGCCCCCCCGTGACACCAGCATCCCATATGGGTGCTGGCTGGTTTGAGTCCCGGCTGCTCCACTTCTGATCCAGCTCTTTCCTGATCCCTGGGGAAAAGCAGCAGAAAATGGCCGCCCAAGTGCTTGGGTCCCTGAACCCACATAGGAGACCTGGATGAAGCTCGTGGCTCCTGGCTTTGACCTTGCTCAACCATGGCCATTGTGGCCACTAAGGGAGTGAACCAGCAGATGGAAGATTCCCGCCCCCACCCCCTTTTCTCCCTCTCTTTGTAACTCTTTTAAATAAATACATACATCTTGGGGGAAAAAATGAAAAAATAAAAATAAAAAAGCAATGGAATCAGGGTCAGCACTGTGGCAAGCAGGGAAGCCGCCGCCTGTGACACTGGCAGCCCATTCGGGCACCAGTTTGAGACCCAGCTGCTTCACTTCCAATCCAGCTCCTTGACTGGGAAAACAGCAGAAGGTGGTCCAAGTGCTTGGGCCCTGCACCCATGCGGGAGAACTGGAAGAAGCTCCTGGCGCCTGGCTTCAGCTTGGCACAGCCCCAACCATTTGAGTGAACCAGCTGATGGAAGCATCTCTGTTTCTCCCTCTCTCTGTAACTCTGCCTTTCAAATAAAATAATTCCATCTACTTTTTAAAAAAAGATTTAACAGTGTATTTTATTGAATTTGATATATCTAAATGTTATCATTTCAACAAAGTTCAACTTATAATTCATGATGGTGCGAAAGGGTACCAGACAACCATTCTGCTTCCGCTTTCAGCTGGGAGTCAATCAACTCCACAAGACACTCAGCACCTCGTTACAAGCAGGCTTCGAGCTGGGTGGTTCTGCCGACTGGAGGCTAACCTAAGTGTTCTGAGCACAATGCAGGTGGGGCTGAGCAATGACGTTCAGGTCAGGTGTACTGAATGCATCATCTGCTTAGAATGAGTTCACTGGGGTGTCCCCATCATAATCCGAGGAACATCTGTAACGATACACAACATCTATTAGTGGATATTTGGTGTTCTGTTTTCATGCTGAGTCTGGAAAAGCTAATGTGTGTTTCACGTTCGCAGCACACCTGGAGGCAGACCAGCCCCATCTCAAGTGCTCAGTAACCCCATGTGTCTGGAGGCTATGGATCAGCACAGCTCTACATTTGGACATCTCCATGAGACTGCCCCAGCGGCACCTCACTCTGAATGTATGTGAAGCCAAAGTTGGCACCGTCATACCCCAAATGACAGAATCATGTAAAGTCCAGCTGAGGCCCCCAAAGAAAAAGCACCTGGTGCAGGATTACAAAGTCCCTGCCTTCTGCTTCTGCAAGGGCCTGCACAGAAGCCCAGTGAACATGTTGCCTGGTTCCCCATCCAGGGAGGCAACAGCAGCAGGAAAGGAGAAAAGAGGCACAGCTGTAGAAGGCTTTAATGCTAAAGCACCCTGGGCGTCCATTCCCCCACATCCACACCCAAACCAGCCCCTGACATCCATATCCTAATCCCGAATCTTCCAGAAATAAGCAGTGTCTTTCCAGAAGTAGTCACCACTGCCCCAGAGTAGGTAAGTGTCTGTCCAAATTAGTGAAAAGAACAGAAATGCGGAACTTACAAACATAAGCTTCACCTCATCGTTTGTGGTGGTGGGACACCAGCGAGCATAGCCGGAGCTTGGCCGGCCCAAGTCACATCTTGGCTTTGCCACTCACCACTGCAAAACTAAGCCTCAGCTTCCTCATCCATAAAACGGGTACAGAGTAGTACCCACCCTCAAGAGAATAAGTATTAAAAGATCACATGGGGCCAGAGCTGTGGCATAGCAAATTAAGCCACCACCTGTGAGGCCAGTATCCCATATGGATGCGAGTTCCAGACCCAACTAATCCACTTCTAATCCAGCTCTCTGCTAATGCGCCTGGGAAGACGGAGGAGAATGGTCCAAGTGCTCCTGCGCACCCACGTGGGAGACTCAGAGGAAGTTCCACACTCCTGACTTCAGCCTGGCCCAGGCCTGGTCTTTGCGGCCATTTAGAGAATGAACCAGTGGATCAAAGAGCTCTCCCCAACCCGTTTTGCTCTAACTCTGCCTTTAAAATAATAATAAAATAATAAAAATAAGATCACAGGATGCCTATTAAAAGTTCTTAGCAGTAGGCCTTCACATGAGGCTACTCGGAGTTCCTCAAAAAGCAGCAGCTACACCGTGTCCAGATGAAGCCTGTCGCTCCCCCTCTTCATGGAGGAACGACACTAAACCCTGCCTAGGCTTCATATCCGAGTCACGGCACCATTATGTCGCTCCCCGTCTTCACGGAGGAACGACACAGGACCCTGCGCTGTTCTTTCGTCTGCTTGGCCCTTCCCGGGTTTGCTGCTGGTTCTTCCCGGGTTGGCTACTGTCCCTTCCACCTCCGTGGAAGGGCGGTTCCCCCTGGCCACTTTCCCCACTTCCGCAGGGGAGCGGCACACCACCAGCCGGCTCTCTCGGGGGCTGCACAGGTGTTCCCTCAGATGTTCCTCTTAGATGTTCCTCGTGCATGTTGTCTCTCTCCTCCTTTATAGTCCTCTTCCACCAATCCCAACTCTGCTACCCACACGCCGAGTACGCTGCTCTCCTCCAATCAGGAGTAGGTCCTACAGTTTATTGGTTGAACTGGAGGCAGCTGTGTAGAAGCTGTTTCTCCCTTCTCAGCGCCATATTGTGGGAGAGCAGATGCATAGAATAAGTCTTAATTCCAGTAACTTAGTCTAGTCCGAGTTGCTCCCCACAGAAGCCCATCTGTGCCCGCCCACGTCCTCCCTGGTCTAAGTCTCGCTCCACACTGACCCAGCAGCCCGTGCTCAATATCAGGGGTCAGGCACTGGCATGGACTCATTCTCTGGGGGTGGGGCCTCTCATTGCTCATCCCTAACAGGTGGCATTTTTGGCGACCAGGAGACATGACAAAGGGACAGATGGGGGCATGAAAAATGACTGTCACCTTGGCCACATTACCCTCCTCCTCATCCCATACTTCATCCAATCAAGCTATTGATCTATGGGCGCAGCTTCCTCGGAAAGGTTACAATGGACATCTGAGGCGTGATCCTGCAAGAAAATGCCTCCCGCTTCGGAGCCCCTGCAGATGACAAGCATGCAGTGTCCGCCTGCTCTCCCAGCTCTGCAGGGCACGGTGCTTGCCCTGCACCCCTCTGACATCCAGGGATGCCAGCAGCAGAGAGTTCTGGTCTGAACCCTCACTGAAAGATGAGGAAACTGAGGCACAGAGAGGGCAAGTGATGCCAGGGGGCTGTCCAGTGAGTCCAGGGCAGGGGCCTGGGGCTTTTGCTCAGAGGATGTGGGGAGCCACTGCAGGGTTTCGAAAAGAAGCGCTGGTACGTTCTAACACATGGGAATGAAATGAAATGGAGAGGAAGGAAAGAAGGAACACAGCAGGGAGGCTTCTGCACAGATCCAGCAAGAGAGGAAGGGGGCTTCGCCAGGCTGGGGTGAAAAGGAGCTGGAGTACATGCCTGAAGGTAGAGCCGAGGGGATCGGCTGCAGAAAAGACAAAGTCAAGGACAACACAGAGGTTTTTCAGCCAGAGCAACAGGACAGATGAACTTGAGCCCATGCGAATGGAAAACGGCTGCAGGTGCTGGGGAAGACTCCTGGAATTTCAGTTTGCATCAAGCCAAGTTGCCTATCAGAAACTCAGGTGTCAGAGAGGTACGGCTGGAGATGGAAATGAAGGCAGGAACCTGTTGAGATCACCAGGGGAATGAGAGTGGAGGGAGACCAGGTGGCATCCGCTAGGAAAGGAGACTGAGGGGGACGAAACAAAACCAAGGGAGGGTGAGCAGCCAGCTCCACTTCCTCCAGCCTGCCCCCTCACAGAAAGGAACCATGGGGCCCCTCCCCTCAGCCTCCCGCCAAGGCCACACAGAGAAGACTGGGGAAAGCAGCGCTGGGGTACAGAGCAGGATGGAGGATTTTTACAACCCAAAACGGTGAGGGATACAGCACTGCAGGCAGAGGGGATGAGGCGCACAGGCAGAGCCAGGGGCAGGGAACTGTGAGCCCTGTGGGGTGTGCCAGAGCGCCCCAGTGGCACATCAGGGATGGATCAGGGCTGGGGTTTCCTCCTCTTGGCCAAGCTTAACTTTCTGACCACCCAGAACCCAACAAGGTCACAGCTGGTGGCCTCTGCTCTCAGCTGCAGCCCTTGGGCTGCAGGTGAACCCTCTCTTTCCTGATGCCACAGTCTGGGGTCACATCTTCCTCACATGGAGTTCACAGTGCCTGGAACCTCACAGCAATTTGCTAAGCCTGAGTATGGTGCAAATGCAGAACACCCTTTGAGCCAAGATCGGAAGAGTTAAGCAGGGGCTGGGGAAGCCAGAATGATAGGAGAAACAGCTTCTCGTGATAGACATCATCTCCAGCCAGCCCCCTGGTACCAGTTTATATTTTCCCTTTCTCTGTTTTAATTAAATATCTGTCACTCACACATTCACGCTGGCTGCCTGTAGAAGTTCCATTGTCAGCGGTGGAGACGTCCAGTTAGAAGAGGTATTGAGAGGAGCACTGGATCGGGGGCTGAGAGCCCTGATCCTCTCTCCCAGCTCGGCCATTTAGTGGAGAGGCGACCCTGGGCAAGTCCCTTCCCTTTTCCAAGACTCAGTTTCCCCATCTGTAGAGTGAGGGGAGGGACCAAGCAGCCAGCCAGGTCTGCTGTGGCCAAGTCCAGCCTTTGAAACTCATGGCTCTTCTCATAATGTCCTCTGCCCTCCCTGAGTAGACGTGCACTTCATTATACCCCCCAAACCTTGTAACCATATGTCACAGGAGTAATTATCTTCCAATTTCACCTTCCAATTGCATCTTAATTTAACTTCCATTCCTGCGTGCCTGCTGCAATGTCCAAGCAGAGCCTGAGGACTTCTAATTAGGCTGCAGTTAAGCCAGTCCAGCGATCCATGACAGGGCACGTCCTAGCAAGACAGCAAGGGACAGAGAAGGGAGAGCCTGGGCCCCGGGCTCGGACGAACCAAGGATCCAATCCCAGCTCAGCCACAGTCAGCTGTGGGATCTTGGGCACGGCATTTTGCCTCTGGTAAAATGGTAGAATAATCCCCTTTCCCTATATAGCTGTCAGTTAGGTCAAGGGAAATGACAGACATAAGATGCCTGACAAAGTCCACTGGCAAACCACATCCTGCTATATGTCAGGCGCTGGACAAGCAAGCAGGCTTTCAAGCTGGACAGTCTGTGTTTCAATCCTGTCTTGGTCCCTTCGTATTATCTGCACCTCAGTTTTCCTGTTCAAAAAACAGGAGAAAGCAAGAGTCCTCGCCCCATCAGGTCACTGTGAACACTAAATAAACTGATACAAGGGTAACACTTAAACGCAGCAAGGACCCATAAATATCGGCTAGCATTTATTACTCACTCGTAAGGTGACAGATGCTGCTCCAGGCACCTTACAACGTGCTTTAAGTCATTTAATCATGAGAACTCGATGACCAAGATCGCATTACCCCCACTTCTCAGATACAGAAACCGAGCCACAGAGAGGTTCAGCAACCTGCTAAAGGTCACAGAACTCAGGACATGCTGGGTCTGAGGTTCAGTCCCACCAGGTCTGGGAGCCTCAAAGCTATGCAGAGCATGGCACCCAGAATCATGTCGGGCTACCGTCACTGCCACCACACTGAAAAAGTCACCCCGTTATGCTGGAGACAAACCACAGGATGGCTGAGCCCAGAACTGTTAACTGCTAAGTTTCCAGGGACCAAACCTGCCCTTTGGTTTATTCCAATCAGTCCCTTCCCTAGATTCTCAGTGAAGGGAGGGCGTGCCCAAGCCTCATGCAGGAAAATGTGAGAAAACTGGAAACGCTCTCACCATTGTTACACGCCAGTTTTATTGGGAGTGTAGGAAAAAGCTAGCTTGGCTCTGTTCAGGCCTGGCCAGCATAGCGGGAGGCAACCTTCTCCCCATAAT